CCAATATGCATGGGAAGTTTCATCACGATCCATCAACCGATGTCCGTACCACCGGCAGGAAACCTCGGGCGTTGGCACTCAGTTTGTGAAAATCCGGCCGGAGGCTGTTCCCTTTGTGACGTCATAACTCCGTGACCTGACATGACCCGGTCAATTTTTTTTTATCAAAAGATGCGCAAGGTTTGCCCCATAAGGTACCCAAAATTTGGCGCCGCTGCGCGCCGCCGTTTTTGCACTATTTCCGAAAAGCCTCAGGGGGGGGGGGGGGGTTGCACCAACATGGGCATAACACCAACCATGTTGGTTGCACCAACATGGGCAACATGGGCTACATGGGCGAGGGTTAAACAGCATAGTAGCCTTGACCAAAGATTCAAGCAGCTACCTAGTAGGACTAGGTACATAGGTACCTAGGTACCTTACACCTACCTATCTTCAACACTCAACAGTCAGTGCAATGTCAGATAAATTTGTAAGTAACTCTGAGAGACAATTATAATATAAGTAAGGACTAAGGAGTAGCATAGTAACCTATCTCTTATTATTACCTAGAAAGTCATATCTGAAAATTCAAAAGCACAAGTTCCGAGAGGCATTCATGTTTTTTTTTAATCAAACTTTTTCTACATGAAAATGAGACAAATGTTACTACTTCTTACTTATCAGATAAAATTATTCAAACAGTACAACCTCAAAAATAGGATTAATCCCACCTGTGAAACATTCAGCATCAGCAGGGACTCCATGGGCCACGAGGAGGCCATGACCTTGCATGAGTGGCTCAGGCCTCAGAATCAGATATGATCTTGAGTTGAGACTCATTGAAAGTAGTTAATGTAGGTATACAATATACATTCTCCAAACGGCACCTAGTTTAGCAGTGCCAACTGGCTGCCAGCTAGATAGAGCCCATCCGTCACTTACCATTTATGTTGGCTCAAAGTGGAGATTAAAATGAAGGAATATAAAAAAATATTGTTAGTCTACAATTTTAGATTAAAAATGACGTCATTGAATATTAATCGATATCAGGAGCACCGGAGCACTGACCAAGTGGCTCTTTTGGTAAAAATAAATTGTCATTGGTGCAATTCGGGCAACGTCATCCGGCTAATTTGTCAAGTATAAAGAATTAGGATCCCATGCTTGCTTTATCGCGCACGCGCCATAATTTGTCACCAAGGCGCCTTTGGGCTTTGGGTCTTAGGAGAATGCACTACTAAAACTTTCTTTCTTCCTATGCATCAAATAAAAAATATTTTCAATTTTTTATTTGTCATCGTATATTTCTATTTTTCAACAAAATTACTCGTTGACTTCATGTTCATCGAGATTCAGACGTGTAAGTTATCAACTGCGCCATTAATATAGTTTTCTTAAAACATACTATGACTTTCACATTCTATTCTCGAATTCATGACGTCACTCATAGTACATATTTTAGGCGAATGGAGATCGCTGAGGAAATATTTCAAAGCCGCTCCTTTACATTATTCTGAAGATTCTATGATGTCATAAAACAAGTTTCTTTTTAAACTTCTATTTCATGGAAAAATGTGCATTTTGTGGTTTATTGGCAGTTGAGCATCGCAATTTTGCGGTTTATATGTGAGTTTATTTATATTATAGCATAGCCTATAGGTAGTTTATAGGCTATAGGCAGTTTGGGCGTATTTGATTCTATAGACACCCAAACTCTTATGCTGTTGATTGATTATTGGGACCAAATTGGGACTGGGAGAAGGGGAGGCAGCCGCAGGTGTCAATTCTGACTTCTGACATGTAAAATGTAGGTACCTAGGTAGTGTAGCAGGCACTTGGTTTGGTAAGACTAAGTACCTACTGCCAAATGCTTTTGGCTCATTAGGCGCTTGTGCCTGAGCCTCTGAGGCTCTTGTAAGTCTGAAATATGGAGTTAAGTGATGGCTAAAGCTGAGGGGGTGATCTAGCATTGATTATTGGGGTGTTGATGGTGATTTTTCACCATCGACTCAATTTTTTTTTGAGTCGATTCTTTGTTTGAGTCTGAAAATTTGAATCGATTCATCAAATGATTCATGATGTTAAATTCAATTGATTCGAATCAACTCATGACTCATCAAGTTCCTCGATGAAGTGATTCGAATCAACTCATGACTCATCGAAAAACGGTTTGATTCTGAGTCGATTCACGAATCAACTCAGAGTCGTTTACAAGTCTGCTGCGCGGCTCCTCTCAGTTCCGTGTTTGCGCTGTCGTCTCTGGCGGACAGCATGACTGAGCTGTCCGCGAGCGGCTGCCGACACAACACGTGTGAAGCCGAGCAGAGCGCTCTCACAAACAGACACCGACTGATGTGTGCGCGGGTGATGCAACGGTTCCGGCACATCACACCGCGTGGCGTCACTGACGTCATGAGGTGTGACAGTAACGAGACAGGAGGGCTGGGGTCGGTTGGAGGTCACCACAAACAACATCAAACAACGACCGACAGGATGCTGCTATCTCTGGAGGATAAATCAGCATCGCTGAGCATCAACTGAAATCGCGGAGACATCCCTGCTAACCAACCCTGCCCTGACTAAATTTCCAAATGTTCCTTTAGCTGTTATTTTGTCGAGGCAGCACATGTCTAACAGAGTTGGTGATTGGAAACCACCGCGGGCTGCGACTAAAGAACGACAGGCTGATTGGAGAAAAGAGTCGCGAACCTGGCCGGTACTGACGTCAGCAATGGGTTACTGTGGTCTGCGATGCTCCAGTTCGGTCACGTCGGAATGCACGGTGTCCTGACCCTAGATAGATCAGTTGCTATTTTGTGGAATACCACGTTTTATAGACGTTCAATTATATTCTTTGACACTTGCCTGGCGGGATCAGAGCCATTATATTACGCGGACAAGGGGGTGTAACGATATAACGACCTATCCCTGAAAAACATCTTCGATGACACCTGATAACCACCACGCACCTAATGCGCAATTTGCACATTCATTGGAAAAGTTGCAATTCGCCGTAGGCTGTATGTAGGTAGTTTGTATGACGCCATACAGCTGCGCTATTTCCGTATAACGCCGGCTGATGTCTCGTCGCCTCGTCCTCTGGTGCCATATTCTTCTCACACGCGTCGCCGCCAGTGGGCCCGGTGCCTTTGTCTGATTTTAAATGGGCGGAAATTGTCGACAGGTATGCAAATGCGGCGTCTGACGGTTGATAGCGCGGCGCGCAGCCATAAATTCTGGTCACGACCGGGCGCAGATATGCCACCGCCGCCGTCCTCGGCCAAGAGTGGGCAGCCTTGGAGCGGAAATGGACGTGTTTACGGACGGTGAGGGGCGGGACTTCACGCAGAGAGGGAAGTGGGAGCAGTTTACGGGATTCCCCTTGAGAGGTGCCAGAGACCTAGAGATTGTAGAAGTGAGTCACAAAAATGAACTCAGATGAACGTTATTGTTCTGGTTAGTAGTGGATGACACGCAATAGTTAAGCACACATTTTTTGTGTTTTCATTTTCACAAATTATACTTTAGCTAGGAGTGGACAAGTAAAACCCATCACATCCAGTACCTACCAACGGACCGAATTTGTTGGCCACTGGTTTCGTGTCAGCCATTCATTGGTCCATTTATGTACCTTGCAATTTGCATCCTTGCAATCACATGTTTTCCATATACAAATGCATTTTAAAACTTTTCCTTGCATAATTTGATTGGAAAGACCGATCTGCCGAGCGCTATTTTCCACTCACCCGTCGAGAGAGGCGAGCGGGTCATGCTATGAGGTCGTTGGGGTGGACCGTGAGAACGGTCATTGATTTATTGGTCACCTTTACAGGGAAATCGCCATCCGTTCCCAGCACTCCGTACACACAGTCTGAGCACGAAATGTCTGAGACGTCCGTACGCACCCGGGTAGGCGAGAGATAACACTGAAACGGATTAAAGACAAGAAACAATTTCGAAACTGGGATTTTAACCCTCGGAGGCTGAAGTCAAGGGGAACTTTCCTAAGATTTAGGTACCTGTCAGATCGGTCTGGTGACCTCAGTCCTACTCCTCACCATTGCAGGTGAATCAATGGGGGAGTACGGAATCTGTTATTTTAGGCCGGAAATGATGTACCTAAAGACTACCTTAAGCACGATTTCATGCACTCATTGCACGGTCCAATGCTTAACTTTTGCCATTTTTGCATTATTGAGTTTGCGTGACGATATATGTATATGACGTCACTAAGGTCATCCGAGTTTTTCGTCAATAACTCCCGATCAAATTGAGCTGGCGAATCAAGAAACCCATTACTGAACTGGTAAGGACCTGTCGAATCAAATGATATGCGACTTGACCTACTTCGACCAGCTTTGTAGCCTAGCCTTGACCTCCGGTCAACACCCTAAGTTGACCTCGTCCAAACAAAAATATACAATAGGACGCGCCTGACTAGGGCGAATGATGTCCAAATTGCAACTCTGCGACGATTTTTGGCAAAGTTATTCACCAAAATAAAAACCCTAACTTTGGACCACTTGGTCTTACCTCCCAGGTCACCGGTTGACCTGAGGGCTGCGACCTGAAATTTGCCCATCGCTCGCTGCGTCCATAGTATCTATCGGCACACACGCTCGTTTTTCCCCGTCGGGTCTAGCACAGCAAGGGGTGAAACGGCGAGGGGGGAGGCTCAACCAGCCTCTTCCATCCCTCGGTCTGTAGAAAACAAATAGTTCCGGCGAGGGTGTCACCTTTCCTCCCAACCGCGTGCCACTGTTTTGCAAAAACAAAAACTAATTTTGGTACTGTTGCATCGGAAGTATAAATATAGAATCTTCATTGCACCACCTCAGCCTCACCGCGCGGCCAACCGATAGCCGCCGCCAGCCGGCATGACGTCACGCAATGACGTCACGGTCACGGTGACGTCACGGTCACGGAGGCCGGTCGCCACAACACACAGCCGGCGCGGCGGCTCACGGGCCGGCCGATTGCACCACACGGCGCGATTCCACCCGTTCCGCGCCAATATAACGACCGGTGGTCGGAGGTGGGGTATCAGAGGAGCCCCAGGCGCCCGCAGCAGGTCAACCGAGGCGTCGGAGGTCGTCAGGGGGTGCGCGTCGACCGCGACAGTGTCGTCGTTCGAGGGACGTTGTTTGCGACAGTCGGGTAGCATGGCGAAAGAGAGTGAGGCAGCATCCAGCACGGGTCTGCTGGGAAGACTTCTGGGAGCGCTCAACCCGTGGCGATCAGCCGAGCAGGAGGACGTGACTTTTCCACAGCCTCTGGTGGAGCCTGAAGCCCCGGCGGAATCCTTACCGGCTGTAAAGGAGTCCGTACCGGCCGAAGAGGAGTCCACACCGGCTGCGGAAAAGTCCACACCGGCTGAGCCCGCACCGGCTGCAGTGGAGTCCACGCCTGTCCCGACAGAGTCCCAGCCGTGTCCGGAATCCGGCGCCGCTGACAGCTCTGAGTCTGACTCACAAGCCGACAACCCGTTCTCAATTTTCGGTCTACCGTCGACCCAGTCCAACAAACAGGAGACCCCCGACCGAGCTGAGGAGCAGCGCCCGGCTAAAGGAAGGGGAAAGGGGAAGAAAGTTCGCCAGGCCCGCGGAAAGGGCGACCCTGCCGAGCCCCGGCGATCGGCCAAAAAGCCGCCGATGAGAACGGCCCGTGACGTCATCAACCGAATCCAGTGGGACCGTAATCTGCCCGAGGATTACTTCGATATTGGTTATCTGGACAGGTAAGACGGCGATTGGGCGACATTGTCAGGTGACCGATAGCAAGTGTGATACGTAGCACAGGGTAAGGACAGAGGGTAACCTCGGTTCCACCGCTTCACAAAGGGAAATAGGACCGTCTAGTGCCATTTGATAGGAATTATACTACCAATCAAATTACCCGACTGTGAATGGTTGCGTCATCTGCGATTCTGAACACAATCAACTGGAGCACGGATGAATCTTTCGTCCGCGCAAATACACAATCAATCAAACTACACATAAACAAACATACAACCATAGGTGGCGGAACGGTCTGAGGCAAGGGACGATGACGTGGCTCTTGTTAGCACTCACATATACCCCTTTGCGGTCCTGTAGCTTTAGGGGGGGGGGGGGGTCCGTCCCGTCCCGACCGCTCGGCGCAGCCTGCTGCTGGTGTAAGGGAAATATCGACAGTGGACACCTCCGGGGCCCATCGGTCACGGTCGCCTCTGGCCCTCTGCCATGACGCGACAGAGTGGCAACGACGCACATCCATGGCAGTCGGCGGAACCATATTCCCTACCCCTATACGGCGAACGGATGGGCGGGGGAGGGGCGTTGGGTGGCCGTCCGCAGTCGGCATTAGAGCACGGTCGTATATTATAGAATATGGACACCACTACATATACGGCAGCGATTTTGTGAATGACACACATAATCATCTCCATTTAGCCAACTGCCCTACATATCTCCCCAACAGTTTATCCCCTACCAGCTTTACAAGACCCAAGTGGACCACAAATCCGGACAAAACACCGTAGATACCTACTTATCAGTCGCATACGCCTCGCAATTCACATGGTCGATTCTACAGTGCATCACAGAGTCAATACTGACCTTTGCTGGACAGCGCTTACTATTTTACGTTGTACCCGACCCAGCCGAACCGTCCTTCCTCTGAAATGCTGACCAGTGCACCCCCCCCCCCCCCCAGGTTCCTCGGAGTGGTGGAGAAGCCGTTCGCATCGTTCACCTGGGGCGATCTGCCGTGGCAGGAGTACGACGTCCTGGCCATCCCTCAGCACCGCATCCAGTACTTCACCTACCGGGGTGTGCGAGTCTGGGACAAGGCCAGTCGGCTAGACGCCGTGTTCGGTAGCGCAGGCACCACTGAGGACATTGAGGTGGCGATGACCCGCATTGACGCGCAGGTGGAAGAGGAGCGAGAGCGGCGCGCCGCGGAGGCCCGTTTGGCCCCCGCTGACGGGGCGTGGTTCAGTGACAGTGATGACGAGGATGACGTGCAGGTGGACCTGCAGCCGGCCGTGACGCCCGCGCCCGCCGCCGGGGTGCCTGAGGAGGAGCGCTCCACCCACTTCCTGGCGGTGCGGGTCAACAGCGAGGAGGTGCGCGCGGCAGCTGAGCGAGTCCAGGCGTCCGTAGTGCGCCACGACCCGTCGCTGGGCGCGTGCGCCATGCGGCCCGCGTTGATGCACGTCACCATCTGCATGTTGCGCGTGCAGGACGCCGAGGCGGTAGCCGCCGCCGGTCGCTGCGTCACCGACACCATCGACGAGCTGCGCGAGACACTGCGCGACGACGACTGCATGCTACGCATGCGCGGCCTGCGCACGTTTGGCGCGCGCGTGCTCTACGCGTCGGTAGCGCCGTGCATCTCGTTCTGCGCCGCCGTGGAGGTCCTCCGTGAGCGGCTCTCCGCCGTGCCGGGAGTGCGCGTCACCAACGCGTTCGACTACGTGCCGCACATGACGCTGGTCAAGGTGTCGCGGCCGGTGGCACGCGCCCGACGCTCGCGCTTCATCGACGCCGCCGGGTATGCGTCGATGGAGAACGAGACGCTGGGAGAGCAGCGGTTTGACAATGTGAACCTGTGCGCCATAGACGCTGACTGCGGCCTGGGCGGCTTCTACCTGACAGAGGCTTCAATCTTCTTCTAGACAGACCTGACCCTCACCTAGATTTTAGTAACCTGAGCGGTCAATTAAGTAGCGGTCCACTGTCAAAAAGATACGGCTCCCATGGTTACAATGCACATGACATTCATGTACGGTATTTTGCGCTAGTTGTCTGACAAGAGTAAACAGCACTTTGGAGATGAATACCAGAAAAAGACTAGTAGATTTAATAGCACTTTACGACGGCAGCAGACACATTTAACGCACTGTGACGCATCGACTTTGTCATATCCGTCCAATGGCAGGATGGCAAGGGACATCGCGAACATGTGTCATGTAATCTAGTCAATGTCAGCTTGCCGATCATTCAATCAGTGAATGACACGTGATATGAATGAGCCTAATACAATTTACGCAGCTCGTAAAGGTGATGGATGACAGGTGAGCTGATAAAGAAAAAAATGCATTATGCGATACTGAAAAATGAGGCGTGGGAACAGGAAGTCTGGACAAAAAAAAAAACATAGTGGTAAGTGGTAACACACGAAGTTTAAGAGCAATATGTATTGCTGAAGGGCAAGCGGTGGTGAAATGCCTCACGGCTCACATGCCTTAGCTAACATATCACTGTTGCTATTGGGTGGGCGTCTTGGTAAAGGTACCATATAATTAACCAGTATAACGCCTTTTGGGGCGACTAACGGAGCGAGCGAGAGGGTGAGCCTTGCACGTGCGAAATTTCGACGAGGAACCTCCAGCTGACTTGTGCACGGCACCCTACTAACCGGTCTCTAGCGATGTGCCAAATTTGAGCACAATCGGCCCAGCCGTTCTCGAGATCTGGAAGCGGTACCCTGCACGTGCGCACGTGCAAAATGGGTCCCAACTGACTTGTGCACGGCACCCTACTAACCGGTCCCTAACCATGTGCCAAATTTGAGCGCAATCGGTCCAGCCGTTCTCGAGATCTGGAATCGACCCCTGCACGTGCGCACGTGCAGCAGCACCCCAACTCTGGCAAATGGATATGCATTGCCTAGTGGGTGCCTACCAACATGCCAACTTTCAGCGCATTCGGCCAAGTAGTTACCGAGATATTGCAACAATTGCAAAAGTGACACCTCTTCGTTTTGCACGTGGCACGTGCATAAGGGGTCACCCACATGCATCGGGAATAGCCCAATACTTGGTAGAAGGAATGAAGCTACCCTACAAAAATTACCGCATGTAAATCGGTCAAGTGGTTGCTGAGATATAAGCGTCGCAGAATCGTGACCACGGCCGGCCGGCCGCTCATACTCAGAAATTTCCGTTATTCTACGTAAGACTCCGCTCGCTTCGCTCGCTCCGTAACTACTTCAGCCTTTTGAGTGGTTGCAAAAAAGAAAACATATGACGGCAAAGGGTGGCGCACATCGTCACAGAAACGTCCAAGGTATTTGCATATATGCAACCGATACCTAAAAAACTCTTGCCACCAGCCAATGCCCACTTGCAACCTACACTTTAACAAATCAAGCTCCAGCACACACAGTCGTATCACATCAACATCACTATACCATGCGGCTTACGCCTCAACCCCAGCAAACGTCAGTAGCTTTAGTTATCAGGGATTGTCTGCAAATGCGATGACCACCCTTTTGAGCTACCCACAGATGTGAGCAAATTGTACAGGAAAGCCTTCTGCAGAACATGTCAACAATTCGCAGAAATGAGCTATCTGCATAGGTTAGATAGTAGACTGGTCAACTTTCTGGCACAAGTGAGCTATTCTCAATCCTATTCACCTTTCTGGCACAAGTGAGCTATTCTCAATCCTCAAAGGTCAGAAAACAGTGGAGGTTAACTTACTGGCATAAATGAGCTATATTCACAAGTGGGCTACTCACAGGGGAGTCACCAGAGGTGTGCTCTGACACTCTCACGACCCACGCGGTCACCGGAGCAGGCGCAGCGCCCTCAGGAGCCGCAGTGGCGCCACCAGGCCGGCCAGGCCGAGCAGCCGAGCGCTGTGGCCGTACCACTGCAGGTTGTACTGGCGGTGTTTGCGCTGGTTGCGCTCCATAAAGTCACGGTAGAAGTCGGCCATCTGATCGTCGGTGACTGCCGTGTCGGCACCCTGACGCTCCTGGAGCTGCTCCACGAACTGGCGACGCTCCTGAGGGGAATCGGAAGGGGGTTATCTGACAGTCGGGGGGTTAGTCAGACTGTAACGGTCAGCTGATGACAACAAAGTGGCTTCTGTTGGTCAGCTAGCGGTCAGCCAGCCAGTTGGTTAGTCAGTTGGTCAGTCAGTCAGGCAGTTATTCGGTCGGTCAATAGGCAGCATGTTGTGCGGATAAAACATTAACAGATATACAGCATACACTTCACTTCACTTCAGTATATTTTGGAAACCAATAGCAAGAAACATCGGAGAAAATAATCACGGATCGGCGCAAAAGCAAAATGCTTAAACCAAAGCGCCTTTCCTACAAAACATAAACACAAATAAACGCTCAGAAAAATGAAAAATTAACACGAAAATTAAGTGCAAAATAAAACCACCTGGCAACAGGTCACGACGGCCCCGCCAGCAGCCGGCCGAGCAGCCCTCCGGACATAGTCACCAGGTGTCCGGGCCCCGGGCAGCAACAATCGGGTACGATGTTGTGTATGTTGTGTAGTGTAGTGTGTGTATACAAGAGCGACGTATGCGTGCCCACGGTCACTCTCTCGAAACGCAGAACTGCGAGCATCAGCTAAAGTAATCGGTGTCATTTAACGCTTTCCAAAATTATATTTCGCGATAAGGATTGTGCTTATAAAGCCAGGATGATTAGTTCACTACTGGTGAAAATTGTTGCGACCGTGGAAACAGGGCATTGACGAACGCACTATATTTTGGCATAAATTACTGACATTACCCTCAAGCAGCATATTTCATTCATGAGTACATCTCAGGTTGGGTCACTAGCGGAGAACACGATTATCATTGAATTAGGTCGCAAAAGTGAAAGGTCTTGTCAATTAAGCATTCTACCAGTGGTCATTCCCAATGTTATGTGCAGTCACTCACAGATCATGAGCTACCTATGTGCTGTTAGATAATATCACCAGAAGAAAAAAAAAACTTTGATTACGACCATCAGGACATAAGTAGGTATTGGATTCATCGAGAGGTAATGTGACAACCCTTTGCTATGAAGGTAATTAATAAAGCAGGGGTGTTTGTTGCGTAGCGTTATCCTACCAATCCAGTAGAGGCCAGCACAAGATTCGGTCAGCATCAGCAAAGTTACGTAGGTGGCGCTAGCAGTCTTACCCGCTTGAAGGCCTTGTTGTGTTTCTTCCAGTAGGTATGATTCCATTCAAGAACATTAGCATGCTTTTCTCTTAACAGTTTTTCAATTACTGTTTCATTTTCCGGAATAAAATGCCTTATTGGCCTGATCTTGGACACTGGATCTGGGGGACCAATCCAGTTCTCCTTTATATGCTTGGGTAAAAATGGTGGTTCTGGCTTCTGTGAGTCTTCCATATTTCCTAAATTGTCTGTGGAAAAAATATGGGCATGGTAAGATACAACATTAAGGTATACTACATTGCAGTGACAAAACTTGGACTCTTGCAGCACAAACATACTGGAATCAACTGAATTATTCAGTCAGGCTGAATATGAGCTCCATGACTGAGCAATCAAATTTGTATAATACAAGGCAAAGAAATAAATTACAGATTTTCTTCACTACCAAAAGTCTGAATCTACCAACAAGTGAAAACTCCTGCATTAGTTCATTTGGTTCATTTTGCCAGGCTTTTGCTTAGAAGCAGAATCCTCAGATTTCAAAGTTAAAAGAGGTCAGTTCATATAAAAGGAAAATATCAAATCCCAACAACTAAAAAGCCACTCGGTCATACTCAAGGCCTTTGCATTCAATCAAGAAGGCCTGTGGGTAAGCTTTGGGTAAGCTCATGTGGCTAATCCAGCCTCCTCTAAGCTCCTGTAAACTCCTCTTGTTAAAACATTTTTCTTGTTGCTCCTCCAAGTTCCATTACATTCCTCCTGACCTGACACCAACTCTCACTTCTACTTTTCTCCTCCTTTCTTATCCCACCATTTACCAAATGACAGCTGGTTTACTGGGAAGACTTAAAGGGACCCTCCCACCTTCAAAAAAGTTAATGAATTGGCACGAAAGTGATGTCGCTCGGTTCAGAAAGAGCGAAAACGAATATCTACCAAATTTCATCGAAAAATATTCACCGGTTTTCAAGATATTAGACTTTTACTTTTGTTTACTTTTTGGGATCTCCGCTGTTCCTAGCGACTTTATTTGAAAGTGCGGCATTTGTTGCGCGCAAAGCAGCATATACCACCGCGTGCTACCAAACGTTTTAGTAAAAGATTTAAAAATCGTTAGATCTCCGCTGACGTCACAAATTCTAAGGGGGCATACCAATGCACTAGCCCCTTAGAATCCGAAAACTGCAAGTTTGAAATTCCATATCTCCGAATTAAAGCATTTGTCGATGTTGTGAGTGCCCAAACCGGTATTTGCAGGCCATGGCCACCAATTTGGCTATCTCAACTCAAAACTAATGTTAAGGTGGGAGTGTCCCTTTAAGACGATGGTGCACAATGCACATAATACAAGCATGTACTTAAGCTACACATTATACAAACCCTTACCACCCTCTAGAAATTGTAGGTATTCTCAAAAAAAAAAAATGGAAAGGAATAACACATCCTTCTAGGCTTGTAAGGTGACACAATGCATCAATACACACATTTTCTTACACCAAATATTTATAATTACACTCAACCAACCACCACAGAGTAAGGTCAAGCTACATTAGATTAGGTAAGGTTTTGGCATTTCTGTTTTACATTCACCTGCTTTTTAGGGATAAGTGATCATACAAACAATTTTCTAGATAAATATATGGTTCATTATCACAGCAATATGGTGTGGTCTTTATTCAATTTTGAGGCCTCAGGGTGCAAAATGTGATTTTCACCTAAACTGCTTGTAAATGACAATAGCTAACAGCCGTGGTTTTGCTATGATTTTAAATGCATCCCACCCTCAACATTCTATCATAAATGAATACTTATGTCCAGTCTAACTGAAAAAATAGGTACCTAGGCAAATAAGGCAATGCTTTTTATTGTCAATAGGTAACGAGTCTAAAACGTTAACAAGACCTTGAGAAAGCAAATATGGATGAAAACTTTAGTAATTTAGGTGCCTAAATTGGCTGAAAAAATGATATCACACCTAATGAAGTTATGATTATGCTCAAATTGTGTTCACATTAGCCATAGGTTGAGGTAGGTAGTAATTTGGATTTTGGATTGTGAAATGTGAAGTAGGCTAAGCCCCTTGTATGGGAGGCCGTTTAGGAGAGCTGGCCGCAGGTCATGCAGCAGTGAGCGTTCCTGAATTACCAACAAATTTAACAATACAAGTTTTAAAATGAATAACTTACAGGCTACAGCTTCTTATAATTTTGATTTACAACCTCAACCTACAAGAATATGAAACATAATTATTTAAAAAATTGTCACAATTATTGCAGCAGTCTCTATGTATGTGCCCTCTATTTCAATTTACCTCCCCGAAGGTCCACCATTATATGACTGACACAATTGGAGTTGCTCTGAATTGGAATAGGATAATGGAGAGTTTTAATAATTAAAATACAAGCAGATCTCCCAGGATTTGGATTACTCTTAACCAAAGCAGTGTTGATTAATGGCCTATTGTAAAGTCTCTAATGACTATGGATCGATAAATGCACCTATATATTCTAGATCAAGATCATAACTGTATAGAACTTAGGCTTACAAAAAAATAATGCTAAAAGGCCCCTATATACGCTATATCAATATCCGTTCAAATAATTTTGCCAACTTTGCTGCACGGTATATAGAGAACTCTTTGCTGATTGCTAACCTGATGCGCCAGTAAATGACGCAGCATCGTCGTAGCTGTATTCATTTTTACAGCTACCAATTTGTGGTAGCGCTTTCCCTTCAAATGCATCAAAAATACTTCCCGACGAATTTGGCTTCAGGTTCATATCACCTTCATGCAAGTTGCAACCCTTGCAACCAGAAATATGCGACATCCTTTTTTTCTTTTGGACGAAAGCCATTAAAAATACTCTCAAACACTGAATTACAAGTACCTTTGACACACTGAGCAATGAGCATGAAATGGTACCTGTGGGCCGTGACCCCTGTTTATGCCCCTGAGGTCATTTCAGGTCACGAATGGTATCTAACAGTTTTTCCTGTATGTTTGATGCAGTCTTGCAATGCAATCCAGCCATCCAAGAAACTTTGCGCGAGACATTTTCTTGGATGGTTTTCTTGGATAGCTTGATTTCATCGAGGGCTTCTGTTTCATAAGGGACCGTGTATATCACACCACGGTGAGATTTACACAATACCGGCCATTTGTGTAAATCACACCCACCCCGGTGTGATATACACAAAATCTACTACGTAGTGTAAATCACACCCGGGTGAGGAATACACAGAGAGGGCCAGGGGCGCGGGAACTACTTTCTGACTGGGGGGGCACACCATAATAGAGATCAACCTAGGGTACCCCCAAATCTAGTTTTCTCACCGGTTTTAGGCTACTTATTTGTCACCCCTCGGCTTTTTGAACAAAAAAAGAAAACATTTGCAAAAAAAGTGTGGTATTCCGTCTCAAAGCTGTGGGGGCACCGCCCCTACGGCCCCAGAGTTGGGGGGGCAAGCTGCCCCCACTGCCCCCCCGGCTCCCGCGCCTATGGAGAGGGCAGCTGTGTGTATATCTCACCACGATGTGACGTCATAGCAACGCTGAACGTCCATTGGTCAGAGCAGTGACTCTGCTCGCCCATTGCACAGTGGGGATTTTTCCGATCTAGCGCCTATTAATTCAAAAAATATTTTTTGGATTTTGGTTTATTTTTTGTGTCAGTAGGGCTAAGAAATGTCTGAATTTTTCATATATGGCATTCTTTTATCTGTATGTCCACAGCAAAACTAGGAAAAATGCGCCCAAAGTTCAAACTCATGCGTGATTACTCAATGGGCTCAGCAAGGCCCGACAGTATAGCTTAATTTCATTGTCCTGTCCTGTTGGTTTTAATCTTGCGAGGTCTTAAAGTTGCATATCGTCTGAAAGGCACCTTTATTAGGAATGGAATGGCAAACAGAAAGTATGCCACAACCTTACTAAGGTCACAAAATGCCCTTTACAAAAAACCCTTACAGACACCATATTGAAGGAATGGTATTCTAAATAAATGTAGGAAATCAACAATGTTCTCCACACTTTTCCACTCCGAAATATATCCTATCGAATTCGCCACTTTCTTCTGCACAAGACAACGCCTAGTTTGGCTGCCGAAACTTGCCTGAACACGGAATATTCACATTAGAGTATTGTTACGTTTGACTTTGGTATATTGCACAGTTGAGATACGTACGTCCTGCCAGAACCCCTGGCGCAGACGATTTCAAGCCGGGAATATCGGAATGACACTGTTCGCGGGGGAAGGGGAGACGTCCCGCCAGAACCCCTGGCGCAGACGACCCTAACACCAACCCGAGGTACTTACGTGGCGAGAGCTATCCTCGAACTGACCGACCGTCCCGGTCACCGCCCTGGCGTGACCTCGTATGGGTCATACAAAAGTAAACCGAGCGCCTATTGGTGGAAGCCAAATGACGTCACAGGCCCAAGCAATGCAAATCCACATAACACTGCCCCCCTCCAATATTTTTTCCCGCTTGGAAAAAACATTTACCGAAAGCCACAAGGGCAAAATAAATCAACAATTAACAAAAAAAGGCAAGCACTTCCCACTGCAACCTACAGGCAGATAATACACCTATCACTCGTCTTCACGTGAAGCCCACGTAAGCCAGCTTGGCAGTTTGTCGAGCACCTTCTCGTATCCGCGGTGGGATAGATGAATGCCGTCGGATGCGAAGTAGATGCTGACCGACGGCACTAACGCTTTGCATTTGCCACGAGTGACAGTCAGAGTCCGTCCCAAATTCTCGAAGCCTACGCCGGCACTGTCACAGAAAGTGTGCTTTAGGCTTCGTTCAGCGTGAAACGCCGGCGTCTGGGTCCAGGTCTTGTTAGTGTCGAATTTCCATCTGGGTAACGGCCCCAAGATCACCACCTCCTCAGTCACTTTCCGCAGGGATCGAACTACTTCGGTCGCGTTCCTCTTGAGGTCGTCGAGGTTCATTCCGGAGATGCGGGTACCGTGCCGTGGGTAAATGTCATTCCCCGTCATCCAGACTACAGCTCGGCCCAATGGCCGACCGTAGCCTTTGGCCGCGCGGCACCACAAGTCGATGTCCCCGTCAATTTCCATCGCCAGTCGTGCCCAGCTGTGTCCGCCCTTCTCGAGACGAAGAAGAAGGTCTGGAGGCGAGACGCCCACCGGTGCATCTCTGGCGATCGAATCGCCTAGAAGCAGATGGGTTCTCCCCTCAGGTGCTGCTTGTGAAGATAGCTGCTGCACTGCTTGACTGAGGAACTCCTCCAAGTCCGAGTCCCACAACACTGCTTCGTCGTCCATCTTGCGGCTTCCAGTCTCGGATCCCCCGAGAGCCTGGCGACAACCGGTCAAGATGTCAATTTCGAGAGTTCTGTCATCATTGCCGAGGGCACAGCATGTCTGTCAGCAAGATCTTAACGTCTTTAGACGTCGAGCACAAAGTCAGCAAGCCATGCCGGTGCTCTGCGGACTCTGGTAGCCCTATCAGTCTGCGTTCTCGTCCTGATGTCGCCCATTGTCGCAATCGAATCGTCACCTACCCCGGTTCCCCCGGCTGCGGGTCTGTCCAAGAGGTGCCCTGTCGCGTGAGTGATCGTGTCAACCAGGGGAGGTCCATTGACAGGGACAGAGGGACTCTTGGGGCCACCCGTGATTCCCATCAGGTCAGGATCGCCACCGGATCCTGTTTGTGCCGCTGCTTCTGTGCCGGAGGTGGAGTCTTCGGTCGAGTGTTCCGTTGTGAGGGCCTCTTCCGTTACCCTGGTGGGGTCTCGTGACCAAGTGAACTTTGCGTCCTCATGCCTTTTCCAGAGCCTGTTGATGTGCACGATTTTTGGCTTAGATCGCCCTTCTCCTCTGATTCGATAAATGACGTCGGACAGCCTGTTGGCAATAATGAAAGGTCCTTCCCAATCAGAGGCTAGTTTCGGGCACATGCCTTTCCTCCTCTTTGGGTTGTAGAGCCACACTTTGTCCCCTGGCTCCAAAACTTTCTGTGTGGCCTTGGCATCATGCTGTAGTTTCATGGATCCTGACGCGATCTTCAAGTTCTCTCGCACATGCTGATGTATGTTGATAAGGCTTTTTCTCGTCTCTTCTACATACTGAGGCAAGTTATCGGTTACAGCGTCGGCTGGAGGTACTCCGGTGGTCACATCGATAGGAAGGCGGAGTTCTCGGCCACTCATCAGTCTGGCTGGCGTATATCCAGTTGATTCATGCTCCGCTGAGCGATAGGCCATCAGCATCAAAGGGAGCTTTTCATCCCAACTGGCTTGATTGTCCCTGCAGAATTTAGCCAGTTGCTGTCCAAGTGTTGCGTTAAACAGTTCAACCATTCCGTCCGATTCTGGATGTAGGGCCGTCGTCCTCGTTTTTCGGACACCCATCAGGCTGCAGCATTCCTTGAAGACGGCACTCTCGAAATTTCGTCCTTGGTCGGAGTGAAGCTCATTCGGCATCCCGAAGCGCGCGAAGAACTCATCGACCAGTTTCCTTGCCACGGTCGTAGCCTCTTGGTTTGGGATCGCGTACGCTTCCGGCCATTTCGTGAAATAATCCATTGCCACCAAGATGTATCGGTTGCCTGACGCCGTGACGGGTAGAGGGCCTGTGATGTCAACGGCTACCCGTTCCATCGGGGCGCCCACCTGGTAGAGCTGCAATGGTGCCTGGATCCTCCGTTGGGGACCTTTCTTTGCACAGCAGATTTGACAAGCCTTGCACCACTCTGTGACATCTTGACGCATGCCTACCCAGTAAAACCGCTGTCTCAAACGCTGCAGCGTCTTCTTGATGCCGAAGTGGCCACCCGTCAAGGCATCGTGGGTTTCTTCCAACATCAAGGGGCGCAGGCTCTGTGGGATCACAGTTAACCAACGCTCGGAGGATCCATCCACCGACTCCCACCGGCGCTGGAGAACCCCTCCATGCACCCTCAACATGTCCCACTGGCTCCAGTAATGCTTGGCTTCTATGCTGCTCGCAGACATCCTCTCCCACGCAGGTCTTCCAGTTTCGTTTTTGATAGCCGCTATAATAAGTTCGAGATCCTTGTCCTCCAGCTGCGCCTTCGAGATGTCTTCAACATCTGGTGCATCCTTCGGTGCACGCTCCACAGACCGATCACATGTGACCCCAACGGCCTGTGACTCCCTGCGCGGAGAACCGGTTTCTGTTTGAGCCATCAAACAGCGCCCATGCTCAACCACCTCCTTCCTGCTGCAGTAGTTGCATTCAGCTTGGCAGGGGCGCCTGCTCATGCTGTCTGCATTGGTGTGTGCAGATCCCGGTCGGTACTGAACTGTGAAGTCGTACTGGTCTAGTCGTGTCAACCAGCGGGCTAGCTGACCTTCCGGATCCTTGATGCTCCTCAGCCACCTAAGGGCTGCGTGATCCGTGCGAATCACAAAATGTGCTCCGTAGAGGTAATGATGAAAGTGCCTGGTGGCGTCGACCATCGCCAGCAATTCCTTTCTTGTCACGCAGTAGTTCCTCTCTGGTCGAGTTAGCGACCGGCTAAAGAAGGCGATCACTCTTTCTTCCCCATTGATCTCTTGCGAGAGCACCCCACCTACGCCGCAACTGCTCGCATCGGTGTCTAGAATATATGGCTTTGCAGGGTCAGG